CCCCCCCCAAAAAAAAATACAGACAAAAATCCTGACTCCCTTTTGGCTATTTGTCATGCTCATAAAATATTACCTTTCGGCTCCAAAATGAAAAAAGGCATTTTGTCAGCTTACGGAAGTGTATAATCAGTGATCTAACTCTCCTTTTTCAAAGAGGTAATAGTTTAATGCTTTCAGATTCTCGTAGGGCGTAAAAGTAAAACTATCCTTTGTGCTTAAATTTATCATTGAACAAAAAGTATCACTTTGATTGAGCCAGTAGAATATGGTTCTCATGAAATAAGTTCTGAAAAAATGCTCAACAAAACCTTTGATAAGGAGGAACTGCTGAAAATGGTATCCAAACCTGCCACTCATCCCGATTTAGTCGGGATATCCCAATTTTTTCCCCAAAATCTCAAGCATCCCGATTTTCACTGATTTCAACCAGGCATACCCCGATTTTTTGTCTCAATCTGCTCTTTCGCCGGATTAGTCTAAAAACTTACACTGCCTTCTTCTCTATTGCTGGAATTTTAAGCACCCTTTTAACTTTAAGTCAGTAATGTCAGTAGGAACTTGGAGCACTATTTTCCAAAATCTCAATGCCAGATTTAGTAGTTGACTCGCCCCAAGTTGTGTTTGATCCCAGAATCCTCTGATATTAGCCTGATAACTGTTACAATTTGCAACATGCAAATAGTCAATAATATTCGTAGTTCCACTGTTACTTTCAAAACAAGTCTTATCCGAGGTCTAGTAATCGCGCATTCATATCAAACACTTGGACGTGCGACAGTTATTCTTACCCTAACACAACTAACTGCTCTGAGTAGACTAACCCTCGGCCATTGTCGTTGCTTTGGTCTGAACGCAAATGAAAGATAGAGATTTGTTGATACATTTGGTCGGTCGATGTTGTCGTTAGCCTAGAAAAACTGTCGCTCGTCCGAGCGTTTGGTGTGAACGGGCCGTCAGTTGGATCGATCAGTAAAACTGTGACATGACCTTCGGCGTGTGAGTTCTGCATGTGCCAGGGACTGTCGGTTGATGGGGTTGATGGGGTCAACTTAAGTTCTTACACACTGGTTAAAGTGTCTCTCAGGACTTATAAAATTGGTTGGGGGGGGGGGGGGGGGTTAGACTCTTGAGGTAGCAGTGATTGATGGGATGCTTCAGGATTGAAAAAAAGTAATGATAAAACACACACACACACACACACACACACACACACACACACACACACACACACACACACACACACACACACACTAACACACACACACACACACACACACACACACACTAACACACACACACACACACTAACACACACACACACTAACACACAAAGACACACAGAGGGCGTATAAGCCTATATATTTACTTATGGACACCCCTGGAAAAGTCAGCTTGGCAGTCACCTTGGTGATTCGCTGTTGATACCGATCTTTTTCACCAAATCACGACTCTTTCCCCCCCCCCTGAGATCTTGATTTTGAGATTTCATAGAGTGGCAGGTCTGGGTATCAGTCTCTCCTCAACAGATTAACATGATACCGTATTTACGGATGTTTGAAGAAGAAAGAAGAATTTCAAGAAATTTATGAAAATTGTCATCGCCATCTTACCTTTCACCTCAGAGTTTTAAATTGTGTTTGTGTTGAGCCTATGATGGACGCTTAACAATCTTTACGTTTATGTTTATTTCATGAAATGTGAAAATATCAAGAATAAATTGAACTGGTAAAATGCTAGAAACAGCTGCCAAGATCATGGATACATGGGTATTATCTCCAGGTTCTCCCAACTCTTATTCTTGGTGTTGAACGACTCTTGAAAGAAGTGGACGAGAAGGGCTTGTCTTCAACAAACAGGTTTGAGCCCGAGTTCAACCCCCTGAATTTCTTGGCTCAATATCTGATGCGGAATAACCCCCGATACAGTAACTTTGCCGAAGCGTCTCCGTACGTGAGGGGACTGAGGGAAGTGTCAGAGGAACTCAAGCAGGAGCTCTTCACCTTTGAGGACAACAGGTCGATATTTATTTCATAGTCTGTTCTAGTCATCACTATTAAAGGATTATGAATGAGGAGTATACATTTCTTGTGGCAATGCTTTGCACTTACAAAAAAAAATCAATGAGTAAGATGCTGTATCCGAAGGACAGGTACCCATCATAAGGGCTTGTTTGTGAAGACCAAGTCTTCTTTGAGTAAGTATGGTTTTTGTATTCAGTGCCCCGACTCAGATTAGTACTTTGACGCAAGAAATGGTAACCTCCTCTAAATAACTTGCCCTGTTATCAAATACTATTATTTAAACTCGGGTTTGTCTTTGTCAATCGGAACAGTTAAAACTTGCAAAGTAATTCATATCATTGTAGTCATTACTTCATCACAAAAGACATTAGTCCTTGTTGTGTGTATTGCTCTTCTTCTCATCACTTGTTAAATTTTGATGCTCACAAAGAGAACTGGCATCAGCTGGTTTGAATGGTACATGATGTCTACTTGTACTTTGCAAGATTATTCAATTTCACATGTTTTGAAAAGGCTATCAAAGGCTTTTGTATTGCTTCCTGATGAATTTGGAAGTTATTGAGTTACAGAATGTAAGTGGCCTTACTTTTTAAAATCAGAATATATGCTATTTTCAGGTTGGCAAGAATCAAAGCTGAAGCAAGGCGGAAAAGAACAGAGCGGGAGAAAGTGGAACAGATGTTGCGTCAAGAACGTGAGCGACGCCAGGCACAGCTTGTCACTCAGTTCCACGAATGGAACGTGCCAACAGACAACAACAGGGTGGAGCTCTCACTGGTAATGGCATTTGGACTTGCCGTGGTGGTGCTGAATGTTTCTTATTCTTCTTCTTCAGGTGTCAGGTCTGGAGCAGGCATTATAACAATCATGGGACCCCACTCCTTCCTTTTGTCTGTTTTCTTCTTCAGCTCGGTTTTTGTCTTTGCGTTATTTGTTGCACAGTTGTTCAAGCTCTCTTCTATCATTGTCACGTTTCTTATTCTATTTACATCTATTTCTGTGTGGCCTGATTTAGGGAATGTGAGTGCTCTAAGAATCCCTCTTTTGAAGTTCCATTTTTGCTGCAAAATTTTTCATCCTATACTAGTTGGGGTTTTTTAAGCATCCAGGAAAAGAAATGATTGGTGAACCATGATTACTGCTGTCTGCTTTAGATTTGACCCTTTCTGATGATGAGAATGATGTCAGTCCCATTTCAAACTTGTTTTAATTCCTTGATAAGGTGATCTGATCTATAAAATGGAAGCCACAGCAAATAAAAAAGGAAAGAGCTGGGATACTATTCACTCTGATTGGTGAATAAACCATAAAGTGTAATTGCTGTGGAGGTCTGGCACCAAACCGCTACCTTAGAATTTAAGAGTTCCACTGGTAAATACTGACATTTTGTCTGTTTTCAGTTACTAAGACCGTGAGGTCAGAAACCAAATGTTCTGTCTGCTCTATCAAAATCGTAAGATTATTTGGAGTCGTTAGACATTCAGAGAATTACCTCTGAAAAAGGTTGACATGTGGTGAAACTCAAAATTTTTAAGGTCAAATTTCTCAAAGCTAGGTACTGAGCAGATAGAACTTTGTAATCCTAAGGTAGTGAAATGATTTTAAGTTACAGATATCTCCTGAAGTCTTTTTGTAGGGATGATATTTACTTTTAGCAATTTTTTAAAACTTCAATAAGTTTGATAAAGCTGGACATGGCCACTAAAATGCTGTACTTAGTTTACTTGTCTTTAATTACAAATTAAAATGTCCAGCTCATCTCTACATTTATAAACTGGATGAAAGAAAGTTCAACAAACAATGATACCTTTTTTTTGTCTGGAATATAATTCAACAGAAGTCATAGTTCAACATTTTTAGAAGACTGAGAAAATGTTATTGTTGCCCATGTTCGAAATACTGTTTGGTGAACTTTTACTTGGATTTTGTCTTTTCAGCTCCAAAATGCTCTCAGGTCTTTTGCTGAGATCGCAGAGCAGCTTCCAGAGGAGGTTCGGGAAGTTGCAAAGTTTGGGCATCCATTAGAGCCAACGGATGAGACAGGGAGGACCCTGGCAGTCAAAGAATTTGCTCAGGTAAAAGATATACCTGCAGATGTATATACTTTCAGATGTTTTCAATTTTAGATCTTACTGCACAATGTGATTTTCTTAAAGATAACCCTCAGGTGTACTGCCTATCTCAAACTGTTCTGAAATGTACTACATAATGACAGTTCATTCTGAGAAACTAGTTAGTGGCATTTACACATTTCTAATAGGAAAGCAAAAAAATACCCTAAAAACTATATAGTATTTAAGTCTCCCTTTAAAAAAAAAAAAGATGGTAAAGGTTGAGTTGACAGAGAGGAATATGGGTTTCTTGAAAGAAGCAGCTGATAGAGAATTATTTGTTCAAATCCACACCCATCTCTGATATGATTGATTGGGGAACGGTGAAACCTAAAAAAATAATGGAGGTTGGGGTTCGAATCGACCTTGATTTGTATGGACATTGTTTTATATCTGTATGTATATTTGTGTTGAATCTGAACATCCTACAAGATGCTATAATATGCATCTTATGGATTGAATGTACTGTGGTTTAATTTGTTTTTGTAGTTTCATTTTCTGCCTAATTGATTCAAGTTTTCCGTGCCCACAGTATATTAGTCTCTTTGTGGAAGATCTGCCAATCGAGGTTTTCGAGCAGTTCATGACCCACATGTCCAAGTGTGCTGCGGCTCACCGGGCTTCGGCCGAGAGAGAAAACCGAAGGATAATCCTCACCAACCTGTTCCTTCTGTGTGACCATGGAGGGGTAAGTAGTATGTTTTTGTAACCCTTTTCAGAGTGGTGACTCTTCACAGTACCGTAGGCTACTCAAAGTTTGCCACAAAAAAAAGGATTGTTTCATCTACATCTTGTCAGATCTCTTCGAAAGGTCCTGGAACTTTGTTTATAAGGTGTTCTTGAAGTAAAGAATATTTTTTATTCCCTATTTGTAGGAAAAATCAAAAAGAAATTATTTTTATACTGATACCGAAGTTTCACATTGCCTTTACTTTGAGGTGTGAAATAAGTAATAATTATCTTGAATTAACACCACGATAGAAGTTTCAAGCACGGTTATTGGTCCTAAGCTTCATCCCAACATGTGCTGTTGGTGCTGGCGGGAAGAGGAGGAAGAAGAAAAAGAAGTAGAAGAAGAAGAAGAAGAAGAAGAAGAAGAAGAAGAAGAAGAAGAAGAAGAAGAAAAAGAAGAGGAAGAGGAAGAGTAAAAAGAAGAAGAAGAGGAAGCAGAAGAAGTAGAAGTAAAAGAAGAGGAAGAGGAAGGAGGAGGAGAAGAGGAAGAGGAAGAAGAAGAAGTAGAAGTAAAAGAAGAGGAAAAGAAAAAGGAAGGAGGAGGAGAAGAAGGAGATGAAGAAGAAGAAGGAGAAAAAGTAGAGATCTGTTGTTGTTTTTTCCCCAGCTGGAAAAGAGAATGAAAGTTATAATAAAATATGCTGAGTTTCAGGTGGTATCATTGTTTTGGAGATGTTTTCTGGTTTGGCTGCTTATTTGTCGCATTCTTTAATCAAGTCTCTTGGCAGTTTTTTGTTTGTTTGCTCATGAAGTTTTGGTTTATTTTTGGTGGCCTAGTGGTTAGGCTCTCGGACTCGCAACCGTAAGGTCGAGGGTTCGAATCCCGTCAGGGACCCGACGTTGTGTCCTTGGGAAAGGCACTTTACACGAATTTTCCTCACTTCACCCAGGTGGGAATGGGTACCCGGCTATAGACAGCGAAAGATCTTGTCAGTATGTTAGTGTTTGAGCGCTTAATCAGCTGCTTGCACTGTATGCTTCCCGGGAAGCTGAGAATGTTTCGGAGTGTTCTATGTCTGCTGGGGTAATAATATAGTGTAAAGCGCATAGAGGCAAATGCTATCTATTATTATTATTATTATTATTATTATTATACGTTTTTGTTCAGGATGCGTTTTTTGGGCGAATTCTAGGATTTGAAATCAGATGGTAGAAATTCTTGAAGCTGATTTCAAATGTCGGCTTAAATTGTTGCTTCTGGACTCAAACTGAAGCTTCTCAGGTTTAAGCGCACAATGATTTTTTGGGTCATGATGCGGTGGAATCAGGCTCTCGTCAATTTTTAGGCATATGGAGTTATTAGTATCATCTTAAAGCCTGTTCATTTACATTGTTTGGTTGAAAAGCTACTCTTTTATCTTGAATAGAAGTCGAGATATTTGCGATTGAAGAAGGTTGGGGTCCTCTGGTTTTAGGGGTAAAATTAGCAAGAAAATTGCCGTCAAAGTTTGGTCACTTCCATAGCTTTAGAGTCCTTGGAAACTTAAAATTTGCAGATTTTGTGCCTTTAGCCATTTTTCGGTAAAATCCATACAAATATGTGTTTTTAAATGGACATAAAAGATGTTGAGCCCAAAAAAATCCCCAAAAATGTTATAAAATTTGCCAGACCAACAGAAAAATGCCTCGTTTCTTCGATTTCATTATTTTGACGAGCGCTTGATTTACCCCAGATGCCTCACATTTATTCTTCCCTTTTGGTTATTTAGGTAGATAAAGACAGAAACTGAATAATTTGCAGAATAAATTGTTTCCATTACAGAAAGTAAATGTCATCCGCAGATTAATTGAAAGTTTGTTTCTTGCATTTTTGTGACTTGTTATGGGATGGTTGTTTTCTTGTTTTTTGGGGTTTTTTGTGTTTTGTTGTTAGATTTTGTGTTTGTATATCTTAACGGGAGAGTCAGATAATTTTTTTATATGGCTCCGGAAGCAAGCCTAGTAAGTTATGTGTAGAAAAATACTTCCTTAAAAGTCTACTCTGATGCATTTATATAAGTATTTAAAAGTTTTTAGATTGAGGATATCCTACTGGTATGAGTCCTTTAGCATTCAGCTTACAAAAAATTTCATGAAGTTAGTTGATGTTACATGGACAAGTCGCAACTTTCTTACCTCCTCAATAATATGTCATGGGTGAAAGATTTGAGTGGGTGGTTGGTGGGTGCTCTGGTGTGGTTTGCTTCTTCTTTCCTATGAAACATCTATCGTTCTTATCTCCCCTTCTTCTTTTTTTATGTTTGTTACTCTCTTGTAACACCTCTTAATCTTCTGGCGCTCATATGACCTTATGCAGTTGCGAGTGCCGTAAAACCTCTACTAAAACAAAAAACAAAAAAGATTTGACCAAGGTTGTTTTTATAGATGATATCGATTCAGTCTTGAATTTTTCAGTTGTGGTTCATTGTATTCTCATGACAAAGTAACTAACTGTATTAAAAATGAGAAAAGGCACTTTTGTCTTGCATTGACGAGCTCCATTCCAATCATATAAAAATTAATGACCCTGAGAGAGGAAAAACACCACTTTTTTTTTCATTTCATTATTTTGATGAGCACTTGATTCACCACAGTGCTACACATTTTATTCAGCACCTCTTTTTTCTGTACAGTTATAATAAATATTCATATGACCTTAGAGCATGCATCAGAATACCATTGAGTTACAATCAAAATACTGAATAATGTATCTCTAGCTTAACACTATTATTGTTTATATTACTGTTCATTTATATTATGCATGTGACTGTAGGCCTGTTTATGAGTGCAAGCATACTGTGTGTGTGTGTGTGTGTGTGTGCATGTTTGTGTGAGTGTGTGTGTGTGTGTGTGTGCACGTGTGTGTTTGTGTGTGTGTTTGTGTATGTATGTGTGTGTGTGTGTGTACATATGGTGAAACACCAAACCAATGTGCCAGGATCTGGACAATAAATAACGTATCCTATTATATTATCTTATTATTTTGTTGACGCTGTACCCTTCTGACTTCAGGTTGGCCTGACTGGCATGGTAAAAACATCATGACTCTAATCTGTATCAATGAGGGTGTAAAACATTTACTGCCACAACTGTTTGTTAGCTATGCTTATTCTTGCCTTCTGTGTTCAACAAGGTGGTGTTGGTAATGTAGTGGTCAGAATACAGGACTCGTAATAAGATAAGATAAGATAATACTTTATTATCCCAGAGGGAAATCATGAGATTGTGGATTCAGGAGTTCGAGGGTCAGCTCTGTCCAACGTTGTGTCCTTTGGGAAGGTACTTCTCACTAATTTCCCATTTGGCCCGGTCCTTTCAGAGATGGACTTTAGACTCGTAGGGCCAGTCTCTTCAATAAATAACACAAATAATGTTGATAGGGGCATTGAACCTATACCATTTCACCATTTTTTATTTAGAATGAAATAAGGAATAAGTTTGTATTTCCCTTAATTCCTGTCCTCAGCTCGGCTTGTTGGACAGACACCGCATCCTGACTCTGTTTGAGCAATACTGGGATATGCTCAGGGATTCGAAAGATCCTAAGGGAACCTTAAGAAACCCGCGCCGATGTAAGTTTGTACCTGATTTGCAATTTTTTTTATAATACCCCTTAAAATACCGTGTTTAAGCCTCGGTTCGGACACAGATTTCTTCACCATATCCTGCCCACCCAGCAGTAATGGGTACCTGACTTCAAGTTGGGGAAGTAAAGGTGGCATGGGAAGGAATTGGCCACTGGCCACCCTACCCCAATATGCCCGGGAAGTTGTCTCACTAACAAAGCAAACCCCAATGTCCAGATCGGATGTGGGAACAACTTTACTTTTTTTTTTACCCCATAACACATTTTGGGAGCCTAAAAGTAAACACGTGGGTGGTTTGCTGGTGCTCTGATGTGATTTGCTCCTTTTTTCCTATCAAACATCTATCATCCTGATCTCTCCTCCTTTTTTTGTGTTTGTTACTCTCTTGTAACACCTCTAATCTTTCGCACTTAAAAGACCTTATTTTTTGCCAGTGCCGTAAAACTCTTACTAAAACTAAAACTAAAATTGAATAAGGCTAAGGGTTTTCTGATTTGCAAATTTGTGAGACAGCATGGTGGAATCAGGCTCTCGTCAATTTTTGGACATGTTGAGTTATTGGTATCATCTTAAAGCTTGTTCACTTATCTTTATTTGGATGAAAAAAATATCCATTTATCTTGAATACAATTCGAGATATTTGAGAAAGAAGGAGGTAGGGGTCACCTGTTTTCAGATGTAAAATTAGTGAGCAAATAGCCGCCAAAGATTAGTTATTCCTTAGCTTAAGAGTCCGTGGTAACTGAACATTTACATTTTTTGTGCCTTTAATCAACGTTTTTCAGAACAATTCACACAGAAATTAGTTTTTCGATGGGCATGAAAGGTGTTGAGCCAAAAACCAAAAATTCAATAAAAATTCACAAACCTGTGGAAAAACGCGGGTTTCTTCATTTTGATTATTTATACGAGAGCCTGATTCCACCACGCTGCCTCACATTGTTACTTTTGACTGTCATTCTGTTTTGATGGAAGAGGAAAAAGTTAAATGTGAGGCAGCGTGGTGAAATCAGGCGCTCGTCAAAATAATGAAGGTGAAGAAACTGGCAGTCTTCAGCAGGTTTGGGAATTTTTATCGAGTTTTTGTTTATTGGCTCAACACCTTTTATGCTCATTAAGAACACATTTCAGTTTGGATTTTACTGAAAAACGTTGATTAAATGAATAAAAGATGTAAATTTTCAGTTTCAACGAGCTCTCAAGCTAAGGAATAGCTAAACTTTGGCGACCATTTTCTCGCTAATTTTACTTCTGAAACCTGGTGACCCTGACCTCCTTCAATGCAAATATTTCAACTTCCATTCAACATAGATGGTTATTTCTTTCACATAAAGGAAGGCAATTGAACAGGCTTTAAGATGACACCAATAACCCCATATGGCCAAAAATTGACAAGCGCCTGATTCCTCCGCGTCGTGACACAAATGTAAGTCGCTGATTTGTCTTGATTTTCCTTGTCACTAGATTGGACTGGGGGAAAGACACTGGATTGTTTGTTCTGATTTCCATTGTTTCAGGGCCAGTGGTTGAGGTGGACGAGGTGGACGACACGTTGTTTGACGGCTGGGAAGAAGACGACGGCGGGCTGATGGACAGCGAGATTCCCGTCTCCAGAGTTCAGTTTATGAACATCAAGAAGGATTTGGTGCGAACGGCCACGCAGAATGCCGTCACGGACCAAGCGGCGAGGGAGCAGTGGAAAATGGAACAGCTCTCGGAGAAGAGCGAAGGAAGTCAGTTTACAATTGTTGTCACTTTTGTCTTCTGTCCTACCACGTATGTGAGATGTGCTGACGAAATGAGTTACTTTTTGCTTCCCGCAAATGGAAATATCTGCCGAAAACTCGACACAGGGGTCAAATTTGTAGATTTATTGACTGATACAGCTCTCTTCAAGTTTAACACGTCTCTTATCTTTTCATCTGAGTAATTTGTTCAAATTCAAAACTGTAAATTTGATGTGTCTATTTCCATAGGGGGAAAATCCAAGAAGTAACTCATAGCTCATCTTGATGACATGGCTGACAATGTATGTAGATAAATATCTATTGTTTTCAGGTTAGAGATTCAAATAACTTATTTTTCAGTTCAAGTCATCTTGGTCTGTCTAATCACAGTACGTGGGTGACTGGAGGGTGCTCTGGTGTGGTCTGCTCCTTCTTTCCTATCAAGTGTCTATTGCCCTCTGTCTTTCCTCCTTTTTTTGTGTGTGTTTGTTACTCACTAAGAACACCTCTGCACTTATATGATCTTATTGAGTCGTAAGTGCCGCAAAACTTATACTAAAACTAAATCACAATATCTTATGTTTAACCTCAGTACAAAACATAAGAGGCTGACAATAACAACAGAAGTACTAATATATCCGCTGAAGAGTATGCCAAGTAAGAACCTAGGCTACATAAGAGCGGGCTTTTGATGTGGAATGGATTTCTGTGTTCATTATTCACGTGCCTAAGACCTGGTTCTAAAAACAAAAACCTGATAGTAGCAATGTGGATTATGTGGGTTGGTTCAAAATTAGTTGCGGCATGATATTTCAGAGGCACAATGGTTACTGAATAAAGCTCCCGTTATCATGAACGACAACCTATGGCAATGAATCATATAGTAGAGTGCCAACGTACTCCTGGACGAATGGTCTTTTTGTTGATGGATGTACGGTGGAGACTGCTTAAACCGAAATCTGCAGGATTGCCAGATTTTCTTCACTTTAGATGGGTTTTCATTTCAAAGAGGCTGCTCAGATAGAAAAAGGAAAAAAAAACAGGGTTCGATTTTCTTTCGGTTTAACTCTGTTTTCGGGTGAAATGTTTTTGGTTTGAAAGAACTCTACTCCTGAAAAGACAATTGGGACAAGTGATGAAAGGGACCTTTTCACGTGGATCAGGGGGGTTGAGATTTTCTGCCCTGTTTGTTTTTCTAAAAAGTCATTGTTCCACCTTTCTCATGTAAGGCCACGCGTTTTCTAGCAGTGAATTGTTTCTGATGGGTCATTGTGTTTTGCTCTAGCTCAAACAAACAAACAAATGTGAGGCAGCGTGGTGGAATCAGGCTCTCGTCAAAATAATCAAAGTGAAGAAAGTTGCATTTTTCTGCAGGTTTGTGAATTTTTATCAAATTTTTGTTTTTTGGCTCAACACCTTTCATCCCCATTAAAGAACTCATTTCTGTGTGGATTTTTCTGAAAAGCATTGAATAAAGGCACAAAAAAAGTAAATTTTCAGTTACCACGAACTCTTAAGCTAAGGAAATAACTAATCTTTGGCGGCCCTTTTCTCACTAATTTTACCTCTGAAAACAGGTGACCCCCGCCTCCTTCTTTTGCAAATATATCAACTTGTGTTCAAGATGAATGAATATTTTTTTTCATTCTAATAAAGACAAGTGAACAAGCTTTTAGATGATACCAAAATCTCTACATGCCCAAAAATTGACGAGAGCCAGATTCCACCACGCTGTCTCACAAATGATCTACCCCCTCTGTCTCCTCAGTGAGAAAAAAGCTGTATGAGTGGGGGGTAACAGATTTCATGGCACTCCCGAACTACCGCTACACAGACACAGTAGAGTGCTCCCCACAGGATATGAAACTAAAGATTAATAAGATCACAGGCCCACATGACCTGTTCCCGATCACTGCCACGGCATCAAAGTCTGATCGACAGAAATTTGTCTGTAGGAAGCGAATATCTCTATTGAAAAGGCTGGAAAAAATTAACTCCACAAAACCCAATCTGGATAAATCCACTAATGCCCTTGATGATGAAGATGGTGGCAAGGTCAAGGTCATTGATAGGCCATCAGAAGCACAAGTCAAAGGTCGGATTGGTCTGAAGAGAAGAGCCTGTGACAAATCACCCCAAGATGCTTCCACGTTCACGCCTGCGGAGAACGAGTGGCAGTTTCCAAGTTATTTTGATAAACTTCCAGACATAAGATCAAGAAGTAATTCCAGCGATTCTGAGCACTCGTGCAAAAAAGATTTTAGAGCTGGTTGTAGACGGTTGACAAGCCAAAGAGTTTTCATCAGTCAAGGGAGCAGTGCATCTTTCACTGAGAGAAATGACAACAGTCCTCACAACAGGCCTCGGAGAAGTGGCGGGAAATATTCGAGGAGTGAGATCCAGTTCCTTTTTCAGTTGGACCTGTTTGCCCTCTACTTTGTTTTGGAAGTCTTACCTTGCAATTTATCACCATTTCCTGACTTGAGACTTTGTTAATATTTAATGTTTTGTGTTTACGTTCTGTAGTTGGTTGAAAATTATGCTGCTGAACAAAGTTGTTTATTGATACAGTTGTTGTTTCATAATCCATCTATTGACATGAAATGGAGACAAAACGTATCTTTCACATTAATAGTGATATATCATTTAATCTAACACATTACGAGACAATCATATCTGTAAGATAACTAGCGATATAACATTTATCTGTCACATGGAGGCAAAAGATATCTGTCCGATAGCTAGGGATAATTTTTTTTTCATAATGGTTGATAGAGCTTAAGTTGGGGATTTGCTCTCCATAAAAGATGAGAGAGGGTTGTTTATTAGTGGTATAGATAACTGTAAAGTCAGTTTTCATCATAGAGATTGTTTTATAAACTCACTAATTTAGTAGGTCAGCATTTATAGATAGGAAGTAATTAATGCTTATATATATGTGTCTTGGCAAAATAAACTGTTATCTTTGGCATATGCTTTTCAATGGCTGATGTCCCGTCTGCTGGGACATTTCAGTAACCCACTTTCAGCACTTTTTAAGGACCCCTGGGCAAGTGTTGAGTTCTTGCGTGCTGTCGGCATCGCTGACCGTTTATGAAGCCACAGCGCCAGAAGAGAGAGAGAGAGAGAGAGAGAGAGAATGGCTGATGCAACAAAGAAATCACCTGTTGCTCTAGCGGGGAAATTTATTTCTAAAAGCCCTTGGGTGTATATTTTTTTTCTTACAATGACTGATCTGGAATTCAAAATGAGATGAGAGTGTGAGATTTTTCGTTTTGTCTTCCTTTCAAGTATGGATTCTTTTTGCTGCTTTGTTTGCAGCTTTTCAGTTGAAAATACTTTTTTTTCTTCTTGAAGTTTGTTATTTATTTGTTCGTGTTTTTCACATCTAGATGAGGACGGTGCTCAGGACACCATAACTGAAGGGGAGGAAACTAAGCAGGTAGGTGGTGAGGAAACAAAGACGAGTGCAGAAGAGGAGGGAGAGAAGGCCGCAGAGAAAGTGGAAGAGAAAGAGGACAAAGCTACAGAAGAGGAGAAAAAACCTGAAGGAGAAACAGAGGAAAAAGTGGAAGAAAAGACAGAAGGGGAGCAACAAGAGGAGAAGAAAGACGAAGAAAAGAAAGATGAGGAAGGACAGAGTGATGGACAGTCGAAAGAGAAGGGCGAGGGAGGGACGGAGGAAGAAACTCCACCTGGTGGCCCAACGGAGGGGACGAGCGATGACGTCACTTTGCCGGCAAACCAATCTGCTGAGACGCAAAAAGAGATGTCTGGGAAAGAGAAAGACAAAGATGAGTCTATGGCTGGGACCAATGAAGACCTAGGTAATTTCGCAGTATTTGTGCAAACAGAGATTTCAGATGAGTTGTCTCTCTCTCTCCTCCCCCTTTTCTCTCTCTCTCTCTCTCTCTCTCTCTCTCTCTCTCTCTCTCTCTCTCTCTCTCTCTCGCTCTCTCTCTCGCTCTCTCTCTCTTTCTCTGCCTGTCTGTCAGTCCCTCTCTCGCTCTCTCTATGTATCTGTCTTTCTGTCTATCTCTATCTCTTTGTGTCTCTCTTTCTCTCTCTCCATCATTCTCATCCTTTGTTCTGAGTGGTAAAAAACATAATTTTTTTCGTGCTTACATCATTTTGTTTGATAGGTGTAAATGACTCATTTCAGGAGAGCACATTCAATTCTAATGATATAAATGAAAGTATTTCTTTCATTACTTTGTGAAAAGGTCTGTAAATATAAAGGTAAGCCGAAATTTTTATAACGCATTCAGTACAAAAGTTATCACATGAAACTATGCATGTTTGAGGAGATTTCCTGAAAAAGAAGACTCATTTAATTTACTTTTGTACTGCATTTGTGAACAGCTTTTAAGATAATTGGTCACTTTTAAGCACAAGGGGGCTATCCCGCAAAATGCTGTTTTTGAGAAAATCGAAGGTAAAGTTTTTGCCCCTTGTTCAATTTCTTTAAAAGACAAGGAGAGTTTTCTCTATAACCAAACAAATATACTCATCAATGAAACCATACTTCTAATATACGTAGGGCAATGCCCACTTTTAGCGTTGGTCAAGATTTCTGGAAGCCCCCGAAATCTGGGTTAGCCCGCTTGTCCTTAAAAGCGACCATTTGTTTGGAAGTATAGTGCCCAGGAAACTACTGTTGTATGAAGTCAAGACAGGTTTGGGAGAAACGTTTTTGTCTGGACACAGCCTCTGCCATTTGGGTTTTCCTTTCAAGTTTCAAAATGGCTTTGAAAAAAATATCACCTAAAAGTATTTTTGTTCTTTTAAGCTTTAGATGAGATTCCTACTTTTCTTATTTTGGCAGTTAATTGTTGTATTGGACTTTTGTTTTGCAAGTTGCCTTTTAGATTGTTTTGTTTGTGAGTTGATGACGGCTTAAAAAAACCAACATGTGAAATATGTTTAGTACTTTCTACGCTCCTATTATAGAAGCCTTTGTTGGCATGAAGTCTAATTTAAAAATTAGCTTTTGTCACACCAGTATCTGCTAGTCTATGGTTTGGATTGACCTGGAGGAAGCTCAACTTAATGTACTAAGTAAAATATTAATCCAAAATTGAAAAACAAATTATGGTAATGGAAAAGAACAGCTCTCTAAGGATTACTCTTAAGTACAGTTCATGTTCATCCCAGACTGAAAGTTTGAGCCTGTTTCATAAGGGCAATTTATTTAATGTTTTGGTGATTTTTAAAGTCTGAAGAATGTCTGACTGACTCTAATGATAATAACTTTTGTCAGTATGGTAATGTTTTAGCTCCTGTAAAACGGCAACTTGCGTTATATACTTCACAGGAAGTTGGGACTGTTTCAGAATGCTATACAGCATGCGAGTGTAATGATACAGATTGAAATGCATTTATAGACTTTGCTGTTAAGATAAAATTTACACTATACAAATGTTACTTATTACCCTTTATATTTTGTCTATTATCATTTCTCACTTGCACAGATGTGGACATTACTGGTGAAATGGCGGGTGGCTCCCAGCCAAAGTCGGCCATGAAACCCCCAGAGCCCGGCACTCAACCGACTGCCACCGGTCGTGTCAGTGTCACTTTTGCCGGCAACACAGCATTTGACCGGGAAAAGACAGGTAACTATCTGCCATAAAAAAGGACCTGTTTTAGGTAGTCGTTTTTGTTGTTGTTAACGATCCAGAAGCATCTGAGCGTTAACTCTTCTGCATGATGCCATTCGGTTATAGCTGCATGTCTGTTCTCATTGTTGTCTTGAGGAGTAGAGGCAATTAGATGTGTGGGGTAGCTTGGGAAGAAAACATCCCCTTAAATCAGTTAGTT